CTGAGTGGGTGGGTGTTCTTCATTCTCTGATGTAATCTAATTCAACTAAATCCGTCTAGACTACTAATTCGTTTTCTTTATGTAGATTTTCCGATTCAGGTTACTATATTTCATGTATAGCATTGAAATCGTTTCTGATGAGGTACCTTAGGGATGATTACAATTCGGTGATATATGATAGTATTTGTTCCATTCGTAATTGCTGGTATATGTTTAGTATAGGATACCCGTTTACATCTATCCAAAATATATCTCAGCTTTTGATTAGATGCTATTGTTGGGTTTACAGATTTGTGTCCTTTCTGATGTATGTCAATATTCAGGGTTATTCTATTTCTTTTTGTTCAAAGGATGTTCCTGTCTATAAATCGATTGGTACATATAGGGTTTATCCTAGGTGTATCTTGGTTTTTGTGGTTGGGAATATAGAGGATTCCTGGATATATAGAATATCTGATTTGTCTTTAAACACCATTTGTAATAAAATATTATAGATTTTTGGTATTTTGCTTATATTTGTTTAATAGATTGTTAAATCCCATATTCTGGGTTGTTAGTAATTATACACATCACCCTGACACACCGGGTGTTTATTTATATAAATTGGATTGGGGAGTTTTTCCCATTTTGATATCCTGCTGGTTATCAACTAAAACCTCTTTATTGAATCTTATTTTTATTGAAAATTTCCGTCTTGATTGGTTTACTACAGCAATATTTCTTATAGATTGAGTTGCTGTTTGGTTCGAGGTGGTTTGAGTTTCTACCACTTTTTTATATACAGAGATTTATATTTTCGGGTGTTTTGCCGGGATGGGTATAACTAAAATGAATCCTTCTTTTAGATCCTCTTTTGTCTTCTAATTGGCAAGTGTTGTTGTTTTCAATGCCAGGGCCAGTTTTCGAATAATTTTGAATTAAAGCCTAGTAGATATTATAACTCTACTATCTACCACTTTGGATGCCGCTAGGCAGTTCTGGTGTCCTGCCGCAAATAGTCCAAAGCAGTTGATACACCACACTTTCGCTATACAATTGAGCCCTTGTGGTCCTTCATGTGTATCCTTTCGAACACTGTAGTTTGCGTAGCAGATGAGGTTAGTGTATCTCGCTGGGTTACATCAGCCTTAGCAGCCGGTGTCATGTCGGGTTATAGTGGGTTTCGCCTTGATTTCTTGTGCCAGGTCGCTGGTGTTGAAAAGCCTAAAGCCATGTATTGGTTTAAGGAAGAAGACTATCTATATAATTGTATTATTGTGAGGGTTAGCCTTATATCGGGAGGATCTGCAGTTGACTAAGATTTAGCCTATCTATGCTTGTACCTCTGCTTCCATATAACTCACCATATCGATTAGATATCTATCTAGTATACAAATCGATATCAGGACTCTAGGGATCATGTAGTTATATTACATTACCGATTAATATATTTGTGTACCTTGGCTGAATCTGAGAATAATTTCTTTATTCTCTTATATACAGAGTAGTTTGTATATTGCTAAGTTTTTTGGTATAATAACCTATCCTGTCTTGGTAACCGTTATAATGGGGATATCAGCCAATGTGAGGTCTGTGATTGTACTACAAAAAGCACTTTTTAGTACAAACGGGATTGAGCAGCTAAATCGGGCTACAGGGCTGATGGCTATTAATAGCCTGTGATCTATGCTCCGGGTAGTTTATATCATTCAATGTTTGGATTGTGTAGTGTTGGGTAGGGCCTTTGATAAGGCCTCTTGAGATGTGGGTGAGTCCATTCGATCTATCCCGGCTTGACTCGTTTTGGAGGTTTTCAGGATCCCCATGTAGGTTTTGAGATCTGTGTTTTTCATAAAGATTACATTTTCAGTTATTAGTAGCGTATATATTGAATTCGATATTGGATTAAATCTGTTGTCAAAGGTGAATATAAGGATTTTCACAACTCTGCTGCTCAGTTTCCTGATTATTATTCGTTTGTCTTCTGTAGCAATGAAGTCAATGTATCTATCAATTACTTTTACCAAACTAATCATAACTTTTTGTTGTATTCTTTTCGTGTATTCGTGTTTAGTAAGTTTGGATTTGAAGGCTTTTGTCGTTGAATTGGTTTTATTGGTATATACTCTCTTTCCCAGTTTGAAAACTGGTGATATCTTGTTAATGAGGATATACTATCTTTTCTTAAAGCAATTTCATAGATTTGAGAATGTTTCTGAGTCTTGCGGATTAATATAATTCACATTTTCCAGATTATTACTCTCAAATAACGCCGTATAGAATGCTATGGTGGCTTGTAGAAAGTAGCGAGTGTTACTGATACTAATCAGACTTTGTAAGGCTAGTTTCAGACCGAAATGCAATCTCTGGCGATCAGAAACTTTTCTTCGGAATATTGTGTTTGGGTGAATATTAAGAGGGGGAGCTTTCGAAGAAGATATATGCATGTGTGCGCTAGGCTAGCGGCCGCTAGCCATACCCTGCACGTGCATTATATACGCCACGAAACTGGCTATATTCAACAATTATTATTAAATTCAGGCTTTCCGGTAAGGAACTTTGTAATATTGGTTTCTGTAATCTTTTGTAGATATATAGATTTATAATATTCAACTACAAAATTATAAAAATATAATAAAACCTTATTTAGTATATCGATTATTTTCTCTTTCTTAGAGAGTATATCCTTATAATTCAGTTCTATTAAGTTTGATAGTATTCTAATAGATTGTAGATGATCTGTTTCAGAAATAATTCGATTATTGAGGTAGTCAATTTCATTCTATAAGAGATATATAGCATAGACTTTATTCTATTTATAGAATAATATAAAATTATAAGAGATGTATAGTATAGACTTTATTCTATTTATAGAATAATATAAAATTAGTTGTTTATAATTATCAAATATCTTTTATATCAGAATATTGTTCAAATTCTATGGAAATCTTAGGTACTAGGAATAATAAAGATAAAAATGGTTTATTTTGGGGTTTTATTTGATTTCTGTATTAATCAGCAAGTTTCTATATTAAGATTGGGTGAGTAGATAAGCAGTTTCTAATCATTTGTGCTCGGATTGAATTATTTTT